CGATTCAATAGCTTTGCTCGAGGGAGAGCCATCAGCAAGAAGCGAACTGATTGGGGGAATGTTGTCCAGAGCTTATTCAGTCTTTGACGCTCGGCACGGCTCAGCTGCTCTCCCAGATGCAAGTGCTGTCTGAGGCCTGGTACCGTTGGCTCAGTGGCAGAGCCACCAGAGGCACGGCGCCGTGCGTGTACTGCGAGCTCGGCTGGAAGCATGTCCTCTCTAAGCAGGTCGTAGAGCCCCGGCCTCCCGAAGACGCGCAGCTCTGAGTGTGACGTCAATCGGTGTAAGCATCCTTGCAGCAGCAAGAGCATCAAGAGCTCGTGCAAGGTGGAGGTGCCTGGCCGATCAGCAAACCTGGATCGGACCTGAGCTGGCATAGCAGACATACTACTTGTCTGCTAGAAGTAGCTTGTGTGATGCGGTCTGTTGCAGGTACGGGATCCAGAGCACACAATGCCAGCTCTAAGCCCAGGGCAATTTGCGTGTGGTGTGGTCGTCGCATGGATGCTGCTTGCCCACAAGTACACGCTCTTGCCAAGCTTTGTCAGGCTCCACAAGATAGTCAAAGAGAGGCCAAGAGACTGCAATGCTGTTTCATAACAAAGGCGCGTGTAGGTTCACGTGCTAGGCCTCCTCTTCCCGGAGCCCCAACCGGCGGCGCAGACCACTGATTGAGTAGCTCACTCGCAAGCAGACCTTACGCAGAGGATGGTTTAGGGTTTATGGGGTTTAGGGTTTAGGGATCTGGCGGGAATAATTGAACCCCACCTTGGTGCTTTTCAGAGAGAGCTTCGGGATATCTTGCTTGCCCGGAGCCCAGGGTCTTAGCCCAACACACGCCACAAGGGCGTAACACTCTGTAGCCCAAAGATTAGTCCACTCTGCAAGCTTTAGCGGATGCTGACTTTCTGCTCAGCTTAGGTCAGCAAACGTCCCTGGCAGTGACGAAGTGGATCTGTCAGCAACCCGGACATTCTCTGCTTACGCCAACAGCTGTTGGATGAGACCGTTTGATTCAGTCAGGCCCAACATACCGTCAACCATGCCGAAGGCACAGGCTACGATGCCGCTCATAGCTCAGGATTCTGCAAACGACACTGGTAAAACAAGAAAAACGTTCACGAGGCTGTCTCTTCCAAGTGGCATGAAGGCCCCGCCGCAGGCAGACGCTCGGCACCTAAGTACACGCGAGATTTGAGTCGCTTGCCAGATCTCACATCTGTTTTCACTTTCTTCAGGTCTTGACCTTGCAGCGGTTTCCAGCGCCGGGGCCCCGAGCGCGTTATGCACGCGCTTCTGCTCGCACCTATGCCTTCCTAGATGCCGGTAGCCCTGACATGCACTGACAAGTGTCTTGCTTGAGGACAATGAGCGCGTCCCAATCCATAAATTTGCCACCGGCCTCGGCCTTAATCTTGGCTGTCTTCTGTGTGGCTTGCCGAAGGGTTTCCAAACGGTATAAAGACTGTGAGATTTGGAGGCTTCGGACACCTCTCCACTTCGTTTCGCCGGAAGTTTAAGGCAATTTGTAAAAAAACATGCAAAGCCTCAACTCACTTCTGCATCAGCCCTGCACCCGATGCTGCGTGACAGGTTGGACGTTCCGAAGCAAGCTCCGCTAGATGTGCCCTCCTCCGTCCTTTTGAGGGCCTCCGACCTACTACCATGCTGAAGAGTTTCGCTCAGAATTTCCAATGTTGGGCTCCACACTGACCGAACAGAGAGAGCTCAGCAAACAAGAGTACAATGAGTCAAAGGCAACAAGTTCGATCACAGCTCGGAATTGGCTTACACACATGAGGTGCCGCAAGTGCAGAAGCATCCGAGCAGCAGATTGCTCAGTGCCTCTGGGGACCGCCTGCGCCTCCTGTCGCAGCTGCATGCGTCAACAGGTTCGCCTGTTCCACCACCACCTCCACCCTTGGTTCCACCACCAACCGGGCCAAAGCGTCAAGGGCACTTTCCTAAGCGTCACTGTTTGACATCTCCGGGCTTGCCTCAAGAGACCAGTGGTGCTTGCCATGAACGCTTAGGGCTGACATGGTGCCCATTCCACCAGAGGCAGGTGAACCCTTAGTGGCAGCACTTGGCTGAGTTCTTCAGTTACGCAAACTTGAGAGTGGAAGGCGTTGAGTCAATGTGTATGTTTACAATGCATTGCTCAAGGTTCGAAAATTAAATAAAGTTCGACCGGGCCAAGTTTCTACGAGCTCGCTTGGAGCCCAGTGGCTGAATTCCAATTTCCTTTTCATCGCCAACTCTTGGGGGCCAGGCGGACGCCGAAGCCGCCGCCAAAGATGCCTGGCAAAGCCATGTTGCCGACCCCGCCTGCAGGCCGACACGCCAATTCATGGCAGTTAGGCTTGGCGGTAGATCTGTTGCGTCCAGGCCCGCCGCCAGCTCATGCGATTGTGTTGGCAAAGGGAAGGCCGCAGGACTGTCTGTCGAGTCGGCGCGACAAGATATGAGAATGAGTACCGAGTGCCCAAACCTGACACATGCACACGCACCCGCAGGATTTCGCTAGTGGAAACGTGGACTTGCAGGCCAAGCTGCATCGGAGAATCAGAGTCTTTATGAAAGGTCATCCTACAAGCTGCTCTGTTTCTTAATCATTGAGGCAGTGGTGGCAAAGGCAAAGCCTCCAGCACCATTGGCCTCAATCTCAGTCCGGGTAGAAAATTTTGATTAGGCAGGCTGCTGCTGCTGCTGCTGCTGCTGGGCAGATCTTGGCAGGTGCACCCCCCGTCGGAGCCGCTCCCTTCCTTCGTTTACAGGGCGCCCCCGCAGGCAGCTAGACCCAACATGAACTAGCAATTGTCATAAAGTCGGACACACCGTGCGAGGGCGAGGCGAAGCCAAGCTTCAGCTGTGACGCATGCATGGTCCTCTGCTTGAATGATTCCGGAGGCGCTGCAATCGATTGTTGATGCCAGGGGCAAGTCACCAAAGGTGGGACAGTCGCAATGCTAGTTCATTCCATTTGCTTGTCTGAAAGCCAGGCCTCTGCTTTGGAGCCACTGCCGCCAAAGGCAGAAACTGCACAAACGTTGTCTTAGCGCGCGCCTTATAATAATGGCTGCAGAGAGAACGCATGAGACGTGGCAGGCGCCCCCTGCAAGCGACACCTTGGCCTTTGCTGCGCTGACCTCGGCGCTTCCTCTTGACCTCCCCCGCTAAGCACCACCCTCCCGCCCCCCAACCACCCCCCCTGGTGTGCCACGTTGTCTTTGATCTCGTGAGATCGTCCTAAGGCCTTGCCAAATGTGGCGAAGGAATATGTCCCCCCTGAGCCGGGCCCAAAGCCAGTGCCGGAGGTTGTGGTGAAGGCCGTGGTGAGAGCTGAGGGACTGGACTGACAGCACTGGTGAGCTGTGATGTGGCAGGTCAGCGTTTGGATCGTGTATGTGTTCGTGTTGGATGCCCGTCTTTGGCAGCTGTGTTGCCTCAGCACTTTGCTGCAGAAGAACGCCTTGGCTTTGAGGTTCTGGATCTTTTTACACAGCGTTGGCATCATCGCGTTCTACGGAGTGTACATGTCTAACAGACATGTGCTGACCTTACTTGGAACGTCCACTTAGCGTTGGGCATTGGAGCCAGTCCATCTTGCATTCCGTTGGCTGCAGATTTGGGCCACATACGCGGCCACGTTCTGTGGCTGTTTGCTCAATTTTGGGATCTTGGAGAGCCGGACGCTAAGGAAGAATCTTGCATGTGTAGTAGCCTCTTCAAGAGCAGCGGCATTGTCCCATAAGGCATGAAGTGCGTCATCCTGGGTTGCGTGGAGCTAGTGAAGCATGAGACGGCGCGCTGCGATAGAAGACTACAGTGTAATCAACACCTAGCTGGTTCGAACCGTGTTTGGACCCTCGCTGGCGAGGTGAAGAGACAAGCCGAGCTTGATGCAAGAAAAACTCGCATGGCCGGAACCTTGCATAAGGCCTATGGGGCTGGGATGGGCTGGGTACCGCCTTTTGCAGCTGCAAGGCATTAAAAGAGCAGCGCCAGCTCGAGCGCCGTGCGAGATTACAGGCTTTCAGACTCTGGCACATGATGCAGATAAGGTTCAGCTTGCTGTTTTGATCTGCCATATTGTCAGCTGCCAGGAAATTCAGAGCATGCATGCGCCACCTCCCTTGATGGGCTGATGCCACAAGCAGGAGGACCATGCTGACCATCCAAGCAGGTCTTGCAATAGAATTTGTGCAGTGGACGGAGCTTGCTGGCTTGAAGGCGTCATCCGAACACAACGAACTTTCGTCAGCTACACAACTACATCAAATACTAAGACCAATGCAACTCAACACCTGACAAGCATGCATGTTTCCCCTTGGCATTGGATGCATTCAGACTTGCCATGCGCAGCTGCTCACAGTGGCATTCACAGCTTTGGGCAGATTCCCATGCAGCGCGCAAGGCCAGCCAATGTTTTGCGCACCTGGAAGCCTGGTAGTGCCGCTGGAGATCATGCAGGGCAGGCGCAACCGAATCTCTGTCAGCGGAGCGCCCGTTCGTGGCAGACCTCGCAAATCGCCGGACTTTTGGGTACGTCCATATCAGCAGCATGTCGGCATCACAAAGCGAAAAGGACGAAGTCTCGCGGCTGCCTGGTGAGGAGCAATGCATCAAGCCTAGCTTCTCAGAGGGAAGAATTGGAATCCCGCCTATCGCGACTTCGGGAAGAGCTGGGCCAGAGACGCTTGCAAGCCTACGTAATCCCCACAGACGATGCTCACATGTCAGAAGTTCCACCTGATTGCTTTGCTCGTCGAAGATTTTTGACGGGCTTCACAGGCTCTGCCGGAACAGCACTTGTGACACGACATGATGCAATGCTCTGGACAGATGGAAGATACTTCCTGCAGGCTAAGATGGAGCTCAGTAGCTCTTGGACTTTGATGAAGGCAGGGCTAAAAGGCACTCCTGACCTGGGCGACTGGCTATCTCAGAACCTGCAGAGCGGAGATGCCGTGGGTATTGATCCAAGCGTGCATGCTGCGATGCCCGCGCTAGAGTTGCAAGGAAAGCTCAGGAAAGTCGGAATTGAACTGCGAAGCCTGCAGCCGAATCTTGTGGATCAAATTTGGCAGTCTTGTGGAGTCGAACCGACAGAACCAGTCAGGCTGCATCCTGTCAAGTTGGCCGGCATCGGCACGCCCGAAAAGCTGCGGCAGGTCCGACGAAAGATGGTGGACAATAAAGCTGACGCATTGCTCGTGACAGCTTTGGACGAAGTAGCGCCCCTGGGCCAAGTCTGGGGACAGATGAACATGCAGGCTTGTTCAAAGTTGGCTAGGTAGGATTTCAGCAATCCTAAGCCATCATCGCCATGGCGCATCTGCCTCAGAAGGATAAAGGATGTAATCAATGTAAGGATCAAGACTTGGCCAGGTCACATCCTGAATCAACAGAGCGCAGACACCTCAATATCAGAAGAGCAGAGATGGTTGCCGGGAGAGGTTGAGAAGTCAGAAGCCGTGGGAAGGGGAGGGGCTGGACTCTGGAAGGCAGGAGGGGCATCTTTCCTGGGCGGGCCGCTCGAAGAAAGGCACGCAAACTTCTGGAGGGTCAGGGTCGCTCTGGCAAATGCAGCTCCAGACGCTGAAGCCCTGGGCTTATCACTTTTATTGTAGCAGCACATCGAAGCACGTTACTGGAGCTCGCTGATCTCTCCCCTCTCTCTCTCTCTCTCTCTCTCTCTCTCCGTCTTTGTTTCTCACCTTGCTTCCCAGGTATTTGTTCAACATCCGCGGGGGTGATGTCCAGCACACTCCCGCTGCTTGGACTGGTTTTGCCAGTCTCACCCTCATTGAGTCTTTATTTACCTCCTGATAGAAAAGTCTGCAACATCACAACTTGTCCAAGCATGGCCTTGCACAGGTGGTTCTAGCCTTTGCCCTTGTGGATATGAGTGGGGCTGCCATTTTCCTGGATGAAGGCAAGCTGACCAGCGAGGCTGGCAACCCCATGCCGCCTGATCCCTGTCGGAGACATGGCCAACGAACCGTTGTCGCAGGTGCGAGAATACTTGCAAGACTGCAACGTCAGCATTTATCCTTATGCTTCGTTTGATCAAGCTGTCGCTGAACGGGCTCAGTCTGGCCAGCGAGATCCTCGGCGGATATCTTTGGTACAGCAACGCGAGCTACTTGTAGCGTCTTGAAATGTCAGTTGCACGTGCCCAGAGCTGGCTGTCACTGGCATAGATGTGCTTCTGGAAGCTGCTTGTGCTTAGGTGTGGATGGATACAAAGCGAGCCTAAGCTGTCAATATGCACAAGAGCTGCCAGAGCTGACGAGCGCTGCTGGTTGACCAGGCTGTAACTACTCACTTTACCTGGCAAGTGGCAGCAACGGGCCTGCGGTGCCTTGGCACCTGCTCTTGGGTCGACCGTGCGAGAGCTTGCCAGGGCTCTCACGTGGCGCAGGTGGCCAAGCGATCTCCTGTCGCGGAACTTCAAGTGGGTGCCTGAGCGGGTACGGCAGCCAAAGCGTGCCAAATCCAGCTTGTCAGCGTCATGCTTCGAAGGCTATCAAGAACGAAGCTGAAATAAAGGGCATGATGGAGGCACATCGTCGCGATGGAGTCGCACTGTGTGCTGCCTTTGCGCAACTGGAGCGCATGGTGAACAGTAGCGGCCCAGTGCAGCTTTCCTGACGTGAGTCGGAGTTTCTCTTTGCCTTGGTGGTAGACTCGTAGACATGTCCTCTGCCTGAAAGTAGGCTTAGTCAGCGTGTTCATCTGCTCTTGTGTTTTTCATAAAGTCGGGTCGAAGCTGTACCGTACCCGGCCTCCTGCTTCCCGCTGCAATGCTCCGAAGATAGGAAGCAGGCTGGTCAGCAAGCGATGCATGTGAGAAATTAGCAGTTTGGTGGGGGAAGGTCTGTAGGGGGGGGTGGCCAGATTGGAATTTGCAATATTTTGCATGCGACAGGTGTCCTCCTGCCAGCATCCCATTCCCCAACACCCTTCGGGCACAGGTCTGTTTTCAAGCGTGCTCCGCTTGCTTTCAGGTTTGCATGTCAAGTGGCAGGGCTTTCTCAGGTGGTCATATTCCAGGAAATTGCTAAATCCTAGCCCTGCCGTAGTTACTGGCAGCTGCTTCGTTGGTGGGCAGCAGCACAGCCGTATTAATGCATTGATGATGCTTTTGAGGTTATGATGCTTCCAAAACCTCACTCATGCCACCGAGAGTCATGATTAGTCTGGTGCTAGCGAGAACTCATCACATGCCTGGAAAGATTAAGATGGGTTCAGGAGCCACTTCTGATCACACCTTTGTTTTGTTCAGCACTCTCATTGCATTTGATGCTTCCAGATAAGAGGCAGCAGGTTGTGGGGAACGGCTGATGTCAAATTGGGGATGCGCCATTTGGGTTTGGCATCTGGCCGCTGATGTTTTGCTAAGGACTGAGATTGATGTGGATGGAGCTGTGACAGCTGCCCGGGCGACGCAAGCGGGTGCCGCCCTTGGTGACAAACTCAAGCGACCCTAGAGTCACCAGAGCTTGCCATCTGTTCTTACCAAATCTGTGGTACAATGCTAGGCTACCTGGACAGATCATTTGAGACAATCGCTGGGTATGGAGCCAATGCAGCAATCATCCACTACGTTGCGCAGGCCGCAGGATGTGTCTTTGTCGTGTGTCGTCTTCGCGAGTGTCAAAACCTGAAATCGCTTTGAGCGGTTTGAGCGCTGCAGGCAGAATCTGCGGCGATGGTTGGCCGGAGGCTTAAAAAAGGGAGGGAGGCTCACAATGGTGTTTGGGATCGTTTTTTTCCAAGAGTCTCACCACTCGAGGAACGGATTCCATTCTGCTACTCGACTCGGGGGCACAGTATCAAGATGGGACCACTGATGTGACTCGAATCTGAGTTGCAGATTGGAGGTTCCTTGAGAGATGCCCAGCTACACGTCACAGCTGGCCTTGCTGCTGAAGCCGAGGAACTTTGAAATTTGGCAAGCCAACGCATGAAGAGCGCAAGCTGGTTGCAGTAGGAGGTTGTCTTCTTCCCGGAGATTTGCAATCTAGCTCCCGCTCTGTTAGGCAGTGTTCGGCATTGGCTGTAAGGTCTCAATCTGGAACAAATTTCAATTGTCAGTGTCTACAGTGCAGGATGCCAAGAGAAACAGAGTTCCAAACGATGTGAGCACTCAACCAGACAGCTTGCTGTTTAATGTGCTGCCTCTTCGTGAGCAGAGTGAGGTCAGTTATTCACCAGAGTTCTCAAGGCTCACATTGGCCAGGCTCTGAGTACCGCATCCTTTTGAATGGTTGCACAGCCTGCCTCGAGAAGTCCCACAAACAAATCAAGCTGGCGCAGAAGCTCAGAGCCCTCAGCTGCTTCCCACCTCAGCCGTGCCCCAACAGTAAAATTGCACCGGCACGCTTGCAGTGCTACTTGTGCAAGGGGCCCATCGAGGTCAATGTGAACTAGAGACGCTCAACAATGTAGGTAAGCATGTTCCCAATATTTGAGCCAACTGGCTGGATGATGTACAGAGCAAATCAGTGAGCTTTGGCAGTAGCTTTGGAGATGCTGTCTTCTCAGTGCGGGTGCGCACACATCTGATACACTTGAGTTCAAGGTCTTGCAACAGCAACGTTCCCCGATGATGTCCCATGCTTCATGTTGGACTCATTCGTATCGGCCCTGGATGAACCACAGTTGACAAGCAATTCAGAGAGCCTGGGCCTGACGCTTGCGCTGAGGCTCGAAAGCCCTTGTGGGAGGCTGACTGGCACAAGCTCAGCTTGATATGCTTTATTATGGTTTCTGTCAGCCTGCCAAGGTGGCTGCTGACTACCGCCATGGGACTGGGCACGGTGTAGGGGCTGCCCTGCACGTTCACGAAATTCCGCCATATATTGGTCAGCGATTCGACGCTACTCTTGCTTTGGACTATGGGATGCTACGGGGTTCTTCTCAGAGAATAATACATTTGGAAGTTCTTGCTCCTGCGCTTATTCAGGAAAACCGCGATCCGTTGCAGGCAGGCCTGTTTGTCACTTGTCACCTACTGGCCGCTTTTTTCAAGAATTTACCTGCCAGCGTGGGGCCGCCTCGGCGAGGAAAGGTCTTGCAGGAACCAACGCAGACCATTCAAGCAGCTGGAGGACAGGTGGTGCAAGCAAACAGACTCATCCAGGTAAGGAGGCGGTGGCGTAGGGGCCAAGCCAATGCCTACCCCAAGCCCCTACTGTACTTGACCCATCTCCAGCCCAAACCTAAAACCCGGCTCGTTAAACAGAAAGACTGCCGGAACATATATAGAGACCGATCGACCTCAGTCGCTTGGAGTAGGCAACGCTGTCATTGGGTCAAAAATGCCCCTCGAAGCCACTGGCGCATCCCTTTCAAAGAGATGTTAAGTAGAATCTGAAGTGATGAAAGAAATTCGGTGTCAGGCGGGGATGATTGCCGCTTGAAGTTATTCATTGCTTTCATGACCTTCATGTGTGCGGCCAACATGCTGACAACAGTCTGAGGTTAGCAACGAGCCTGGCCTTTATTTTGAAGGACGCTTTGGAATCCGCATCGAAAACCTCATGCTTGTGGTTGAGAAGGCAAGTTGCACCACGACAGGCGGGTTCCAGCATAGAAGTTCCAGCATAGAAGTGCCTGCAAAAGGCCGCCGACGCAGATGGCAGACGCTACTTGGGCTTGCGCCCGCTCACGCTGGTACCCATTCAGATCCTCGGATGGCAACAATCCTGACCTTTTCCGGATCCAGGTGGCTTCTTCTAGTCTTGAAAAGTTTTAAATCAACCAAAAGGCTCAAAGTCAGAGTGCGAAGTAAGCTTGCCTGCAATGTCTTGACTAGCTTGTCCATGCGTGTCCTGAACGACTTCACAATATTAGTGTAGTAGGCCCTGCCGAATGATGCCGAAAGGGATGGACTGCCAAGTAGAAGGCTATCCGGTTCATCTGGGCATGCAAAGTTGAGCAGCTTGCCAATAGAGTGCGCGACCGTTTCAGTTTGTAGCATGATGGCTTGCCCGTTTTCTGGGGAGGGGTTGGAATAGATACTGACTCATACTGATGCCGACTCGATGTTTTGATAAGGCCAAACAGCCTCAAGCAAAACGCCCGCACGAGAGTGACCGCCAGGGAAGTGCAACCCCCATAGGGACTTTTTGAGAACGGATTCAAAGCCTAGGCCAGATACTTTACACAGCCGTGAAGCGTTGCAGAATGTTGCAGGTGATTTGGACGTGGAGGGTCTAGCCCATGCCAATGCTATTGCCTTTAATCACGTGAGGCTACATCCCCATTTTACAGAAGGGCTCCGGGTTGAGGAAGACAATGGGTGTTTGGACCAGAAGATTGCGTGCGGGGGCTTTGCGGCATGACACACACTTTGTGCAAAAGGTCGAAAGCGCTCAAAGCTGAACTTGTTTTCAGTGTTGAAGGGCCCATCTGATCTGAATACTTCATGCAAACCGTTATGTTGCATCCTGCTAGCCTCAGCAGGATCCGGCAAGATTCCAAGCGTTTGGAAGCTTTCAAGGGCAAGGCATTGCCCCAATCCCAAAGCCCTGCCAAAGCCAGCGCAGCCCAGCCCGAAGTCCAAAGACTTGTCAAAAGGATTCAAAAGGAGCAGGAACCGGCAGAACCTAACGGACAACCCGGGAACCTAACAAGGTTTGTTAGCCCGTGCAACGGCGAAATTAAAGAAGCAAGCACAAAGCCAGTCGAGGGCTGGTTACACCTGCAAAACAGGGAGGCAAAGCTTTCAGCGAATATGACTGTATCGTGTCCACATCCTCGAGCCGCCAGCAGGTAGACCTAGGTAGACAGGTACTCTGTCAGCTTGCCAGCCGGCACAAGAAGAGGGAGGTAGAAATTTAGGGAAAGGGATCAAGCAAATCGAGAACACCATGGCACAAGCGTTGCATGCTGTCCCGCAGAACCAAGGAGAGACCTCATAGACCCATCATTGCTGTCAAACGCAGAGCTTGCCTACCTAAACGCACCTTGTCAAGTTGGCATGAAAACTCACTTTTTTCATGGCAGGAAGCAAATCTGAAGATCAGCGTATCTAGTGTGCTCGCCGCAGGCTTACCACAGGCGGGTCGCGGAGGAACTTTCTCCGATCATGCTGGAACATGGGAACACAGAAGTCACCCGTCAGCATTGGCTGGCAGAGTCAGTTCCTGTCTCTTGCAAGCAAAGACTAGTCATCCGGGCTGATTTCGAGCCTTGCAGTACCTGGATAAAAGATTCTTGGTGAGACTCGCGTGTGAGAAACAGGCCCTCGCTTATCTTCATCGTGAGACAGCTGAAATTCGGCGGTCTGATGGCGCTGCATCCTGGGATGAAGAACAGGCAGCGGAAGCAGCAGGTCCCGTGCCCACAGAATTGGTGGGTCGAACAAACCCGAATGCCTCGACCGCCAGTTCTTTGGAAGAAAAAAGTGTAGTGCGACAGGAGCACTTGGAGCGGCTTTTGTTGTTTCTGTTGGTTGTCTTGGAGTGGTTCTTCTCAAGCTGTTGAGTCTGTTTTGCATCTCTAGGGTGTGCCTGTCTGCGGGCAGCGCGATTTTCGACTTCAAAGCGACTCTGCTACAGCGCCAGGAAAGCGGAAAGCGGCACAGTCATCTTGTGAGCTCGTCAAGCTGTCCATCAGCTCCAGTAGCAGTAGCTGGAAGGGCGGGCGATGTGATTAATTCCCATGCCAAGCTTACAAATCCAGCCACCTGTTACGCTCCTAAACCTGAGCTGTTGCCCATGCCACTGCCGCAAGAAAGTCTCAAAAATTGTTGAAATGAATCCCATGGCCATTATATGCTTGGTCCTTCCCTCGGATCGCTCAAGCATGCAGCAAGCCATGCAAGACGCGACCGTTATTCTCTAGTTTACGTGGCATATGTCCAAAGGTATTTCAATACCTCCTGCGCGTATTGAAGATATTCAGTAGAACCAGCCCTGCTTCAGGAAATGGACACAATGTAGACGTAAACAGTGCACTTAGCAGCCTCCCTGATGCATCTTTGGACGTATTCCTGTAGCAAGTCTCACGCAAGATCCGCACATCAGACGACAGTGCTCATCACCAGGTATTGTCAAAGTCACTCTGCCAAATGTCTGATGCGCGAGTTGCACTGATCACGAAGAGGGTTGCTTTGAACCTCTTCATTATGATGTTCCTAACCTATGCTTGGAAGGTCCAGTGACGGGTATGTGTCATGTCAGCATGAGGGCAGTGGATGCGAATTTTATGTAGCAAGCTGTTTTCCATCTTCTGCGGCACATGTGCCCACATTCCGAGCCTGACTAAAATTTCAAGCAAGGCAGGTTTCACTAATCTTTTCAAGCATGAATGTCTGACAAAGAGCCGCGCCTGTGTTTATAAAAGCCGCCGGTGTCCAGCCCGAAGCACACAAAGTCTTGGCAAACCTAGTAGGTGGAGGATGCGCTCCAGTGCTCGCTGGGCAACAGGCAACATGTGTGGTCCAAGCTTTCCTGTCCGGACACCTGCCTAGTCATGGCAGTCAAACTTTGGATGGTGGTGGCCAGGGCCATGGAAGGTCAAAAGCGCTGCCTCGTAGATGCTAGCTTCACCGGTTGACGCATCGGAAGTGCTGCTAGAATTTCTAGCGCCACATGCATGTCGTCCAGAGTGAGATGGCAAGTCGGATGAGGCCGGCACCGCAATTGTGATCCATGCAGGCAACATGATCACGGCTGCGGGCTTAGTTTCACAGCTTCACGATTACTCACTGAGCACTAATCAGAACGAAGCACGCAGCGCACTTAGTTTGCTCCCTGAAGGCAGAGAAGCACGCAGCTATGGAAGAAGCAGAGGGATTCCATGAAGACGTGACGGGAGTGACTTTCCAGGCACCCAGTACTACCAGACTGCAATCCATTCTCCCAAAGAGTGCAAAGGTAATCTGTTATGGGCAATATTCGCTCGGTGACCGCATATCACGAAAGCTAGCTCCTTGG